TAGATTTCGGCCAGGACTATCGTTATCCGGTTGGAAATGTCAGCGGCTCCGTTTTCCATCCAGAAGACGACGAGCCCAGCCACACGATGGGCTGTTGGATCCGTGCCGCGAGAGTCCCACCGCAGTTGGCCTCCTCCCGGATGTCTCCCGCCCCGATCGCACCCTGCGGGGCTACAGGCGAGACACGGCGGGACAACACAGAGGTCCTACGTCCTGGGCTGGCAGGGACAGGCCCCAGGGCGGATGTGGGAAGCAGAGGCCCGCAGAGCTGGGGTGGCTGGTGTGAGCCTCGGTCGGGATCTCCCGGGACCCCCTTGCAGCCCTGCTCTGGGGGCCAGCAGCAGTTGCGGGTGGGATAACAGCACCAGCTACTCCCCATCCTCATGCTTCAGCTGGGAGCTGCTCACCGGCAGGGTCAGGAAGGCCACTGCTCCCATGGAATAGCACCGCGCAGCCGGCAGGGGAATGCACGGGTGAGACCTTCGCTTGGCCGCCGCTGGAGGTGGGATACCGCAGTCAATGGAGCCCCGTGTGGTTGGAGGCAGGATATTGGCCAAGACAGAGCTCCGGGTTGATTTGTGTGTGTTTTGGAGGCAGGATACCGGAGTCAATGGAGCCCCAGGTAGATCCGGTGTGGCCGGAGGTGGGATATCGGCCGAGACGGAGCCGCGGGCAGATCCGGTGTGGCCGGAGGTGGGATACTGGAGTCCATGGAGCCCCAGTTAGATCCGGTGTTATTACTGCACCCAGTTCAGTGCCATTTCCAGCGCTGCGTCCACACTAGGGACAAAGGGGCTTTTTTGAACGCACGGTAAAATCTTTGCACGGACAAGGGTAGCTTGTAATTTTCCCACGCGTTAGCTGCTCCAGGCTCCCCTCCCAGGGTAGGTCTACACTGCCCCTTGAGCCCGGGATTCGAACTCAGGCTCCATACTAAACCACCTTCCATCTACACACAAACTGTGCTAACCCAGGACTCGGATCCAGCCTCCCAGGACCCTCCAGGGCAGAGTGTCCAAGCCTGAGTCACGCCAGGACCCAGGGTTCAAGTCCTGTTGCTCTGCAGTGTAGACTCAGCCCTGCTGGATGTGTGTGCTGGGAGTCCACCAAAAGTATCCCACAATCCCACCGGCGGACTGTCTCTGGGCAGTCTAGTTTTCTACTGTGCGGTTCTGGCGGAACCCAACTGAGAGTGCCAACTCAGGACAAATTGCTCAAACAGGGCAGTTACAGCCCAAGGCTGGGGTTTTTCCACCTCTAAGGCAAACCAAACCAGCCAGACTAGGAGGACTCCGGTCTCACCCCACCGGCTAACCGCAAGTCTCACAAGCAATCTCCTTAGACACTCCAGTTTCCCAGTATTCCCACCAGTGCCACTTGTTATGGGGACAAATGGTTATGAAAACCAAGACCCCAGTAAAAGAAAAAGGTTCTCCTGATCCCAAAGGACCAAGCCCCAGACCCAGGTCAATATACAAATCAGATCTTACCCACAAATCACGCTGCTGCCAATCCTTTAGAATCTAAAACCTAAAGGTTTATTCATAAAAGGAAAAAGATAGAGATGAGAGTTAGAATTGGTTAAATGGAATCAATTACATACAGAAATGGCAAAGTTCTTGGTTCAGGCTTGCAGCAGCGATGGAATAAACTGCAGGTTCAAATCAAGTCTCTGGAATACATCCCAGCTGGGATGGGTCCTCAGTCCTTTGTTCAGAGCTTCGGTTTGTAGCAAAGTCCCTCCAGAGGTATGAAGCAGGATTGAAGACCAGATGGAGATCAGGCATCAGCCTTATATAGTCTTTTCCAGGTGTAAGAACACCTCTTTGTTCTTACTGTGGAAAATTACAGCAAAATGGAGTCTGGAGTCACATGGGCCAGTCCCTGCATACTTTGCTGAGCCTCAAGGCATATTTGCCTTCTCTCAATGGGTCCATTGTATAGCTGATGGTCCTTAATGGGCCATCAAGCAGGCTAGGCAGAGCTAACACCAGTTTGTCTGGGATGTTACCCAGCAGCGTAGCATAAGTTTGAAATACAGACAGTATAGAGCCAATATTCATAACTTCAACTACAAAAGTGATACACACATGTAGACAGCATAATCCTAACCAGTAAATCATAACCTTGTCTTAAACAACAAGGAGTCTGGTGGCACCTTAAAGACTAACAGATTTGTTTGGGCATGAGCTTTCGTGAGTAAAAACCTCACTTCTTCGGATGCATAGCTATGCATCCCTATGCATCCGAAGAAGTGAGGTTTTTACTCATGAAAGCTCATGCCCAAATAAATCTGTTAGTCTTTAAGGTGCCACCAGACTCCTTGTTGTTTTTGTAGATACAGACTAACACGGCTACCCCCGATACTTGGAACCTTGTCTTAGACACCCCATTTGACCCCCTTTATACAAGATCTGGGTGCCACTACAGGACCTTGGTTGCAACAATGATCTATAGGGTCCCAGATTATATCAATAACGTCACACCTACCCTGCACCACAAAGAGCTAGAACGGCCCCATTTTGGGAGGACGCTAGGAATTGTGGGATATCAGTGGTCGGGCTCGGGCCAGCCTACTGCAGTGTAGATGCTGCAGCCCCAGGTTGGGCCCCGGGTTCGACACTTCCTAACCAGGGGTTACCAACGGGTGTCGACGCTCAAGCCCTAGGGTAACAAACCCGGCGTCTGCTCGCTCCAGTTCCACTAGCCCAGGGCTGCCACTGCAGTGTAGACAGACCCCGTCGTGTTTCCCGCGGCCGGCTAATGTGTGTGAACCAAACTGCCTTGTCCGCACTCGGGGGTTAGCGAATGTGGGGTAAACCCTTCCGTTGTTTCTGGCTGCCGGGGCCCCAGGGCCCTGGTGTTGTCACTGATCCTGGTGAAAAATGACTGGGAACCTCTCCCGCAGCAGAACGGCCGGGGAACGGCGTGTGGATAGGAATCACCGGCTAGGGCCTGGGACTAGCAGCCGATGCACTTTGGAGCCCTGCTGCCCTGGGCCTGGGGACTGTCTGCACCGCGCCTAGATGGCACCACGGCCCATGGTGCTACCCTTGCCCCGGCGGCAGCCCGGATTTCACCCCCGCGCGCGCACGCAGAGCCCTGGTGGCATGTCCAGTTTGTGCTGTGGCTTTTCCCTGGAGGCAGCCAGCAGAAGCCGTTCTGGGTGGAAAGGACAGGGCTGCTTTCCATCCAGGCCAGCCAGGTAAAAACTACCTTTGCTTTGCCTCCTCTAGGATTTCACGTGGCGCTAGCTAGCTGGGCGAAGAAACCCACTTTTTTTTTTTTTTGTCTGTGACTTGACACGTTCTCAGGGTTGCGCCGGCTTCTCCGTCATGCCTCGTGCTGAACTGCTGCGCAGCGGCGCGGCGTGAGCATTTAACACAGCTGCTGCGCCCCGCCCCAGAGGTGGCTGCATTGCGGGAGCGCTTGGGGCTCTGGCAGGGCAGGAGATCCTGGAGAAAGGAAAGCACTCGTTGCAGGCGGGTATTGAGAAGGCTGGGGCTGGCGCTGAGAGAGGCGCATGAGAAAGACCTTACCCCCCAGCACCCGAGCCCGGCCTGCATTCAGTACCAAGCAATTAGCCGCCGGAGACTGAGGGGCCTGAGAGGGGAACCTCAGGGGGGACCCCCAGAAGGGGTGTGCATGGATGGGGAACCCCTGTGAGTGCCAGGGCCCCATTCTACCCTCCCCCACAGGGCTGGCTGTGGGGAGAGTGGGGGCTGTGTGGAGGATAGGGAGGTGCAGAACCGAGGGCTGTGGGGGGCAGGTGAGGGGGGCGCACAGGGCTGGCTGTGGGGGGAATGGGGGTGTGCAGATCCGAGGGCTGTGGGGGGTGAGTAAGGGGGGTGCACAGGGCTGGCTGTGGGGGGAATGGGGGTGTGCAGATCCGAGGGCTGTGGGGGGTGAGTAAGGGGGGTGCACAGGGCTG